GATTCTTGCAGCCAAGTCGTTAGGAACGGAAAACTGTCACACGAGCAACCGGCCACGTCTCACGCCGCTCCATAAACTGGTGTGGTAAGACGAAACCCCTGGATGGAGCTGTGACACGGGGCCTTCGTCTGGCTTCGAGTGCCGCCGTTAGAATACCAGCCCCTTTAACTGTTCCACATGCGGTATAAAAACGCACGCTCAATGTAACGTTCAGAAAAGGTGCGCTTAGGAATTCAGGCTGTATGCCACGTCGAGAGCGCGGTGGCTTTCAGCGACGAAACGTGAATGCACGTCCCGTCGAGTATAGCGCGCGCTCTGCGTGGCGACGAACTCTGTGAGCAGTGCGCCAACCACAGCGACACCGCTCACACGCGCACGCAGACATCCCTCTTTATCCAGGTGCTCTAGCGAACCCCCTATTAAAACCACAGCAGCATATGATAGTAGAGTGCTGAGTACTCAGTCGCCTTTGTCTCCCCAGCGCTGGTATTCACGCACGAGCAACTGTGCGATGCAATACCGTCTGGGTGTATACATTGTGCAGATGGCGGCGTTAATTCAAGGCATAAATGTTATGCCGAGTCAACCTATCGACATGGCAGAAATAAGTTCAACAAATACAATTTCCCACGGTCAGGAACTCGAGCCCCAGTCGCGCACGGCTCGTGGCGCAGAGCGTTCACCGCTCAGCGCCACACGCGCGCGCGCTTTCGTAACTAAGGAACCCAATAAGTGCATAGGAAAGTCCCCACTGTGGCGGCGTGCTGGTGTGGGTCTAGCCCCCCGCTCGCGGACAGGTCAATACTCCACGCCAGCCGCAATTACTCGACACGAGGCAGTGCCGCTAATCCTGTTTGGTGCATTACACGCGATGCTGTCGCTCGCCCCGCATCGACACCCGAAGCGCCACTCACCACCCCCACTTCATTCACTCCGCCGCTCCCTAGCGGCCGCGTGTCGATGTCTCCCATTCCCTTGGCTATGCGATGATCCGCAAGCGGCATCGTTGCATCGAGGAACTGAAGGCGGTTCGTGGGAGCGCACTGGATTAATTGGCTCGAGAGATCACGCACGAACAAGCGATTTCCTACTCTCAAAGTGAGCATCCCGGAGGCGCTCATCTCGTGTTCGTAGCACTGAACCAGGGGTGGAGTGATATCTACATTCCTATCGCGGAGGCGAGTCTCAGTGATTATATACAGTGGCATAAAGTTGTTTCAGCATATAACCTTTGTTTAACACGAAAAAACCTGCATAGGTAGTGTTCAAGCGTTGAAGGCAACCTTATGTTTAAACCATCGACCTTCCAACTGCAATGAGATATCGTCACAGGTTTCTACCAGGACGGCGCTTTGTTCAAATGCCCATATTTACGTCTGATCAATGAGCCTGAACACATTGACCAGTGTGGTGAAGTATGGTCAAGCACCCCCCACGACCTGCATGGCGTGCAGAGGCCGTCATCTAGCAGTGGATTGACAGAGGAGCGCGCTGGTAGTACATCACGATCACTGCGGTTACATGAAGAGCGTGTGTGTGACCCAGTGGCTCACTAGGTCACACACACGGCTCACCCTCCCCCACGATCTTCCTCCCGCACAATGCGCCAAACGGACCCAGAACCGAGGCACGATGGGGCGGTATTTCTCTCATCCCCGTCACGGACCCACAACGGAAACGGATCAATCGAAAATCATTGCACAGAGGCCGCCGATCTGCTCGCCTCAAGACCATCCAATTCAAATGTCTACAATGACACCCACCGTACTATTTGTACTTACTCTTTTTATTTGACCGGGTAAGGCCCCACTGAGCTATGTAGCTCTTTTTCAGAAGCGACCTGGCCATCATAAACGAGGTGGCTTATCATCACGTGGACATTTACAGCAGCCAAATATTCTTAAACGCATGATTCTAAATGCGGAGGGGAAAACCGGTGGACCTGGAGAATGAAAATCCACGTTGCCACGGGGAGAACGGGAACATGAAACATCCACAAATATACAGGCGTCAGGGTCGGGCTCGAATCCACGACCTGTTGTATACCAGGGGAGGTTGTTAACATCTCGCCACCGTGGTGCCACCTTACAAACCAAAAACGAGCCAAGTTCGACAGAAACTCATCACCAGGTGACTCCAGATGCCCACAAGAACCGACTGAAACACACAATCACGCATTCCTGTCCGGACAAAAGCAGAATTTTATGCGACCATCACCAAACTTTACAACTAAATTAGTGCCCTATCAATAGCGACAACACTTCTAGGCATCAAACCCCTGGTTATCTATGGGACCTTTTTTGCCAGTATCAAAATTATGAGAGAAAAAAAGTATAGAATAAAAAATAATAGGTTTTACCGTTTCTGAAAATGAAACAGGTGTTTAGATTTGATTTGGCGCTTTCGTGACTGCAGGAATTATTCTTTGGTTCTTTCGGTAAAGTCACGTGGAAATAGAAAATAATAAATTAGATGTTAAACATCAAATAGATGCATTTCGTGTGGTTGATGCAGACTTGATGCCCTGCGAAATGTATCTATTTGACGTGTGAACATCTTAACACCTGATTTATTGCCAGAAAATGTAAAACCTATTCTTAACCCCCTGGGTATCTCAACATACCCAGCACGCCCTAACTCCAAACATACTCAGCGGCTCATCAAACTCTACTGAATACTTGAAACGTCCACGAGCCCTCCTCACTGGACCAACACCCTAAACCAGTTAGCCCCTCCCCCCCGGATCAATCACCTGGCACACAAAATACAGGGACATGAGACAGATTTTGGTTATCTATTCATGAGTAACCACTCCATGAATATCCCCCACCTTCCTTATAACATCACCCCCCCCAGCTAACATAGGCAGCCCCACATCCTTTCACATAACGTCATCCCTCACCTTCCCTCCCTACCCGCTCCCTCAATGAGTTAAAGATAAATCCAACCAACCCCCGCAGGGTCTCAACGAGAGAGACCCCGAGACGAGCGAAACTCGCGATGTTCATTGTCGGAGGTGCGTTCCACATTTTTCAGAAAATGCGAAACACAACGTAGAGGAGAGAGACAGAGAGTCGTGCAAGCGCCACGTCCGTGCATTGCTTGGCGACTCACACGCACGCGGTTACACGGCACGCCGCGGGGTGCTTTTATACCGACAGATATCAACACAAACGCGGCGCTCGGCCGATGACTAAGCCCCGCTTATTGCGGTTTGGTAAACACGCAGGTTGAGCGCTTGTCAATGCGCCCGTCGTCACTGACCGAACCCACGCACGTGACACGCGACACGCGCACAGAGACACAGATGCCCAAATAGCTGCAGGGGGCAAGCGGTGTTAGCGAGCACCTATTAAGGGCGGAATCAGATGTACTGTATGTAGAAACGTGCTAACCGGACGTGCGGGGGGGGGGGGGGAAGAACAACAAACTAAACACAACAAGCAGTTCTAAAGGAATGATTTTCAATCTAGATTTTAAAGTGCATATCTCCCAGTAGCTTCCTAATGGTACACAAGGTGGAGGTGTGGTTATCAGAACCACAAACAATGAGTTCGATGTTCATACACCGCACCAGTTGCTCATTTCACGTTGAGTCGACCCAACAGTTTCCCAGAACTGATTGCCCCTCATGTTGTTATCCGTACTCGCACACAAGACATACAGAACAGCTACTTCGCGTGATTTACGGAGCACTTTGCAAAATGAGTGTCCGACAGTATAACACGCGTATACTGCACACGTACGTATATGCTATGTGCATACGAAATAGATATGTGTATATATACTGTAAATATATGCTGATGAACAGTATTTTTGTTTTACACCGTACATATGAGTTCACGAATGCGTTAAAAGTATTTTATCTATTTTATTTGGGGACGCACTAATGATGAGACGTTCGACATCGGGGTGGGAAACACTTTGAGAGCGAATACCTCTCGGAGTCAGTCCACGATGGTCATCACGTGGTTCATTTAAAGTGTTTTCGTTGCGCAGCATCACAAATAAGTGCTATGGAACTTTGAATAACGGTTGCTTTCGACAAGTCCGTGAAAACAATTGCAAAAATATTCCATACCTTCGCGAGACTTTATTCAGTTGTTAAAATATCTAATAATAAAATACGTGGTCGTTAAGAATATGCTAAAATCTACACTTACCACCACGTTAATATATTATTCAATATGTGTATCTACAAGAGGAGGAGATTAAACGCGTTAAATCTCTAGATACATTAAAACATGAAGAAGCACCTTTGTTCTCGTTACTCGGAACTAGAAAACAAAACAAAACCCCGACTCGGTGGGTGTTGCGCGCCTCTCATCGCGAATAGTATCCATCCACCCCTCCTCCTCCTCCCCCCCTCCGCCTCTCTTCCTACACACAGCATCCACCTTCATCCTCCACCCCCGCCCATCCCCCCCCCCCCGCCCCAAAAGAAGAAGTCTACACCTCGGGTCGCGCGCACGACGCACGCGCACGCACGCGACCCGCTCGCGTCCATTGGTCCCGCGCACGCGACCGGCGCGCGCCCCGCGTATAAAGCGCGCACGCGACTCCGCTTGGGCCACGCAGCGCGCGCGCGCCAACCCCACAGACACGCGCGCACACGCACACACGCACGTGTGTGCGTACCTACACACAGACACGCGCGCGCGCACGCCCCCAACCAGGTGCCACTAATCAGACACACAGTGAGTGGCACAAGGTCGCACAGAGACTCTGATCCGTGCACAAATATTAAGGGGCACCATTGCGTGTGGGCGTGTGCGTATGCGCGACAAACAATTGCCTGTTCAGAACTCGCACGACGGGCAGCATCTGTAATCTCTCAATAACTCGCATACTGCTTGTTTGACTGTGCAGCAAGACACTCTACATACACACAGAGAGATAGAGAGATAAGGAATCCGCATTTAGGGCTGCACTCTCATCTGAGCGCGACCCGCGTGTGGCCACCCCTTCTCTCTGGTCGTGATCCCCCCCCGGCTGGCTGCATGCTGCTGCACCTGTGCGGCCTCGAGATGCTCACCGTGGCGAGGGAGGGCTTTCCGCCGTCGCCTCGAGAGTGGAGCGGCTCCGAGAGCAGCGGCCGCGACTCGTGGCTGCAGCAGGGGTCGCCGCCATCCGCCGAGTCCGCGGAGCTGGAAGCGGACGGGTTCATGCTGATGGGCGCGGAGGGAGGAGGCAGCAGCGGCGGGTACTCGCCGCCAGCCTCGGGCAGAACGCGTCGAGAGCTCTTCAAAGGTACTCCCCCCCCCCCCCGCCTCTCCTCTCTGCCGCTCTCCCGTCTCCCTCTACCTGTCCAACCCGAACTCTATCCGCCTCTAACCCTCGATCGTCCCGGCCACCTGAGTGGCGCACACCTGTTGGATCACGCGCCTTTGATGTTGAAATTTTGCAAATGCCTCCTTTGAAAAGGAACACTTTTAGTGTAGCTGAAGATCATAAAAAGATACAATATACATTTCAAACCAAGACATGAATGTTCCTACCCTTCAAATGCCTCTTCATGCCTTACATATGTAGCCTGGGGAGAAATCATCGTTTTAATAGTGATATCATGTCAATGTGGATTTCAGACTCAGTTATATCACTTCAGGTGACAATCATTTTCCAATGTCCAATTAGGAACGTTTTTTAAACATCGGAAATGTAATGTGTGTAACAGAGCCATGAATTATTTTAGAAATATTCATTAAAGTGCGTTGGTTATTTAATATTAGTACAATATTAGTACAATAAAGTACAATAAAACCAAGCTTTGGTTCCTCTCGGTTATTGTATTAATCGTAGGGTTCAAAAGATTAAACAGATTACACTCCACACGGGGTGTTGGGTCGAGTTCCAGTGGAGCACCGTGCACGCCGGTGCTTCAACTCCATTGCACAGCCCTCGTCAGTGCCCACGCCGTGTCGCCACGCTGGTCGGTGCTTGATGGTGACAACGGTCTTAAGACTCGCCAATGATGTTAGTCGTCGCCTGGAATTGAACCCAGGTGGGTCGGTTTCCTAGCGTGGTGAGCTAACCACAGCGCCCCGGCTCCCCCAGCCTAGTTTTACATTACTTGGACGAACCGAGTGAAGGTGAAACCAACGCTGTGCCCATCCCTGGTGAAACCTTACACCGTGAACAACCTTCAGAAAACAGCGCCCTCCAGGGCCGATTTAAACCCAGCAGCGCTGATTATAAAAACAAACAGACAGCGAGTTGTAAAACAGCACGCGGGCGTCCCGACACCGCGGTGGCGTGAAATTGTTATTGCCCCTTAAACGTCTCGGCTGGCACAGTTCACGGGCCTCCACGCGTCAAGCGTAATCACCTCGCCTTGTTGCAAAACTCCAATGTCTGATGTAGGTATTCCGCTGCATACGTCTTTGCGTGTTTGCTTCTTGAGATATTGAAACTGATTTTGAATCAACTGCGCTGTGCAGCGCCCCCTTAACGAAAGAGCTGGACAGAATCGCAGACAATAATGACGACGACGATGATGATGATGTGAATCATCGTCCAGTGATCGTGTCGCGTTGAGGCCACAGAAATAGCAAGCCGAGTGTGTGGCCTTTTGAATGAGACACTTTAATCGTATGTACATCATCATCATTATCATTCAGTAGTATCCTTATTTCTCCATCGTTTTTATTTACCTAGCGACATGTAACGGGGCATGTATATGTTAGGTATCGTCAATTTATTGTAATTCGTTACGGAGTAACTATTGGATAAGTGCTCGGATTAATAATGCACGCGATATAGTGCCGGGTGTTGCGTGACACTGGGCGCAGAAGCGCCACTTCTCGTGGCACTGAGCTCAATCGGGCCTCGAGGCTGAGCGCAAGCCCCAAGCATCTGCGTGGCTGATCTCGGCGTACGGTGAAGCAGTGCACGTGGCGTTGCACCACAGACCTTCAGGAGTTTTACCCTGGCTTTAAATAAATACGTGAATGTCAACGTTACGTGGTTGCGTATATTCGGGTATTGCATGTTGCCCATAAGTATACTAATTTTCATATAGCACTGTTCAGAATTAAAAAGAGTATTCAATCAAACAATTACGGATATATCTAAGTGGTGCGAACGTTGATGCGTGAGCATTCACGTCGCGGTCGTCTTAAACGCACTTTGCCCAACGACCACGCGTAAGTGAACGATGAGCCGCTAACAAATACAGACACCGATTGATCGTTGCCCTCACCCTAAACCGAACTCCGTCGGCACAGCGCCGCTCCGCGCGAGCTCTCGCCTCTGCACCAGAGCCCTGAAACCAGCGTCTGTCTCCCGTCCCTCCTTCTCCCTCCCCCTGCTCTCCCCCAGCTCTCGGCGGCGGCGGCGGCGGCGGTGACGGCTCGCTCACGCCGAGCCCCGAGGAGCGGCCCCTGCAGGGCCTCGCGTTGCGCCCCGAGTTCAGGGGAGCCGCCGTGGCCGCCTCCGCCGCGGCTCCGGTGGTCGTGCAGAAGCAACGGCGCCTCGCGGCGAACGCGCGCGAGCGGCGCCGCATGCACGGCCTCAACCACGCGTTCGACCGCCTGCGCAACGTCATCCCCTCGTTCGCGGGCGACAAGAAACTCTCCAAGTACGAGACGCTGCAGATGGCGCAGATTTACATCGGCGCTCTCGCCGAGCTCCTCAAGGGGGAGGCGGCAGCCGCGGCGACGGTGACCGAGACCCAGGGCGTGGGGCCCGGGAAGGCGGAGAGCGACGACTGCGAACGCGTCAAGGTGGAGCCCTGCCTCCCGCGGCGAGCCGAGGCGTGAGATCGCGGGGGACAGGATTGAGGCGCGGACGGACGCGTTCAAGTGATGCGTGGCTCTGGCCAACAATTCACGAGGACTCGAACGCACGCGAGACACCCTCGTGCCAGAGGCAGTGCATATACTGTATATAGTGCATACTGTATGGCGCACGTGCGACTTGGGGCCAGCCAGAGTCGCGTCGTCACGGAACGGCCGAAGCGATTCGTCTCATTGTTGCTTGGTGATGGAGACGTCGGCGCGTTTTCGCCAAAAAAGACTCGGACGAAAAGGAACATCCGCCAACAACACGTGAATTGGGCCCTCTGTGTGTGTGTCCTCTCTATAGACGAGCCGATTGCACGCGTGTGTGCGTGTGTGTGAGGTCTGTGTATGAAGCACGCCGCGTTTACGCGCTAAGTTGTCCGCGTGTGTGTGAATCAAAGACCGCCAATGGAACACGACTCACGCACAATGCTGTTTAGAATGCGCGCATCGGATTGCTAAGAGTCCATTTTGCGCACAGAATGGTCCCGTGACATTAATGCCAGTAGAACTTGTCTTGCTATTAATACGCCCCAAGAGAAGTCTCACAAGTTGTTGCCTTTTATCATTATATGAAAACAATCGAATGTTCTTCTTACAAAAACATGCGCCTTAAACAAACAAAAATGCCCAAACAATTCTTGACATTTCACGTCTGTGGCGTCCGACAGCTACAAATGTGATGTTCCCTCAGAGAGGCGACAACGGCTGCAGATGATCGTTGACCCGAATATTGCCATAGGAGCCTTGCTCGAGACGCGCGTGCGAGATGACGGCGCTGCGCGTCTGACGGCAACTGTCGCGCGTTCCGCAAAGTCTCGCGCGTTCCGCAAAGCCTCGCGCGTTCCGCAAAGTCTCGCGCGTTCCGCAAAGTCTCGCGCGCCTCCACGAAGGGCCGCGACGAATGGGGATCGGAGCGCGCGAATTGTAATGCTCGCGAGTGAACCCGCATGCTTTATGTACAATCCAAGCGCTTCCAGTCCGACTTTTAAGTCAAACATGTTTTAGAAGTCTATGAAATAATATGAATTCACCAATGTTGACCGTGCCACTGTGCTAGTTTTGTATTTAAAAAAAATAAGTTTGAGGTAGGCGAGTTGATTAGGGAAAGCGGGTTGGGTACGTTTTCGTCATGTTCTAGACAACTCCACTCTCCGTCAAAAGTGAGTGGTGGTTCGTTTCACTCGTGAGAGCTCACACCGCTACGTGGCGGATGTCACTCAACGAAGCCAATGGACTCGTTGCAGACAACGTCCGTTCATGAGAAAACCCAACTGGCCAAGTGAAACACAGGCAACCAAACCGAGGCGCACTGGCCACGCGAAGCAGAGAGGACGCGTTTATCGCGAAGTGCATTCGGCAGACAGTTTTCGAGACTCTTGTCTACGGCGATGTTCATGTCGCGCTATTGTGCTCCACTCATCGAGTCCACGAAGTGGCGTTTGTCGAGTACAGTACAGCACGTATCGAAACAAAGAATGCACTTTTTTTCCATTGCGAGAGAGAAATAGACACACGTTCAAATTGGTAACAAGATAACACGTTAGAAATACTGCAATGACACAACATGACATCGTTGTTATTTCCATACGGTGCCTGGGTGCGTGTGTGTGCGTGTACACGGTGGGGAGCGGTAGTGTAGCGGTTAGCGCGCTGCGCTACGAACCTGGCGACCCGAGTTCAATTCCCGCTCACGGCCAAAATCAGTGACGATTATCTGAGCCGGTCCTGGTCCTCTCCCCTAGGTCGACTCAGCCTCAAATTAGTATTTGGTGCGGTGTGTAGACATCGCCACTAGGAAGACAAAGGCGATCGGGCGTGGTGCTGGCCACCCCCCCCCCCCCCCCCTCGTGTGGCGTTCTGGCCTTCGTAGGTGCTCGCTAACAGCACTTGCCCCTACAGTCTGTTACAGACTATACGGGGGATCTTTGTTTTTTTGTACACAGTGTGTTGTGACGCGCGCACGTCGTGTTCACGGGTGCCCTGTGAGCCCCGCATCGTGGTCATGGCCAATGAAGTCAGCACCGCGGCGACTCCGCGTGCGCGGACTGTCACCGCGTCCCACGTTTGCCTGTGCTCGTGAATCGAAGCGACTATTGTTGCGTTGGACAAGGGTGACCAACGCGTTTCTCGAATATTTTTACGCAATTGTTGTTGTAATTTATAACTTATTTCTTTATATATATAAAAAAACAATGTCATTAAATGGAGAAAATAAAATGTTTTTGAAATGAACACTCTTCGTGTATATCGTTGTGTAGCTACCAGAGAGGGCTGTCACTCACACACCCTACGGTCACACACACACAGGGCGCTGTGAACCTGGTCAACTGAGTTCGACTCCTGGCCACGGCTATATGAGCGGTGAGTGAAATCCGAGCTGCTCCAGTCCTCACACCACCCACCTTCACCATCCTGCAATGACCAGCGTGGTGAAGTATGGTCAAACAACTCCCTTCACCGACACCGTATGGGGAGGCCTTCATCCAGCAGTGGAGTGACACGTGGACCGTCACGTATTATTATATATTAGCACGCAGGTACATATGAGGATACTGCGTGCATAAAACACGCACGCACACGTCAAGCTGGCGCACAATTCGTTTCACGTGCACACACGCGCACGAGCCATTTAGTCCAAGTACTGGACACCTATCATTCGGTTGTCATACATATCTAATAGAAACCCAATAGGCGCCCACAGCCCGAGTCAGTGGACACTGAATTAATTGGGCACGCCCGGCGAGTTACCGAGTGGAGATCCGCATTGATGGGGGCTGAACACTAAGAGCCGCCTTGTTATTGCGTGCGCGTGTGTGGCGTGGTGCTACAAAGCGCACGGCGTGTGGTGGGTGGTTGCACGGGTGACTGGCTGGGTAGTGAGCGGCTACGAGGATGGATGGTGAGTGGCTGGATGGTTGGGAGACTGGATGGATGACTAGCTGGGTGGTGAGTGGGTGAATGGATGGATGTTTGGCCCTTTGATGAGTGGCTGAGTAGATGGATGGGTGTGCAAGGTGGCTGGGTGGCTTATAGCCTGCATGGCTGTGACTTTAATGCCTGGGTAGTTGTGCCTGTAAGTAGGTGGAAGGAGGCTGAGTGGCTTGGAGTCTCTGTTGCCTGTGTGGCTGGGGGAAGAGTCGGGGCTATAATGTGACTACCACGCGACCCCCCATCTTTTTGTGCGGCTCCGCGAAGCTCCGATTCCAATTCAGCTGGGCGCTCAATGGGCCCTGTTTAAAACAACTCTTTCAAAAGTTTAACAAAACGCGGGGAGCATTGTGGCCGCGAATGGGAGCTGGTATCGTGTTTGATCTGCCGCCTGAAATGAACACTTCCCGGCACCCCTCGAATGCGCGTTGGTTCTGGCCATGCTCACGGTAAACTGCGGCGGAAGACGGAACGATTGCCGAGAATTAGGGGAGAAGTGAAGAGTTCTGAATAGGAATTTGGCTCGAGCTGAATTCGCCGCTCGTGCCATCTCTCGTTTGTGTCGAGGGATCGTGTTTACACAGCGCAAGGGACGAGGAACCCGCGTGAAGATGCGGGCAGAAGAGGGCATCGCCGTCAGAAGAGATCGTCAGCGTCCCACACACGGGGCTGTCTCCGCTCTCGTCAAGGACATGTCTCACAAGTTTGAGAGCGACATCATCATTCGCCGCTGGATGAAGAACTCCCAACACCCCCACCCCCCCGTCCCCACGGTCCTGCGATGCCACAGTTCCGTCTCTGTGCATGATAAGCAAATATCATCTCTGCATCTCCGCGGTTTTGTCTGTCATTCCATCACAAGTCTCGTCCATCAGCTATCATCGCTGCTCGCGATGTCTCCTGCCGAAGCCCACCTTCTGTCCTTAAGCCAAAATGAAGTTTCCGATTTGCCTTCTCTCCGATCCACGCGTTCCTCACTTGCTCGGTGCAATTCCCGTCTTGCACGTTTCGTTGCAAACTCTTCGGCTTCTGTTTCAGTCTTTGCGGGTGCTGACGGCGTGTGATCCACACGCGAAATCAGCGGACAAGGATCGCAAAACACTCACGAAGAAAATGAAACAACGGCTGAAATGTAGAATACCAATGGGAATAATAACATTGTGCAAACATAAATCAACAACTGCATTTTAATTACGCTGCATTGTTAGGGCCAAACGGCCAGTGAGACTTGTAGTCAGCGAAAGTATACCTATGATTTAGGCGCGTAGCCTACGATCAGGGTCATTAATACTTTAAGCAAAATTACATATGCTGTACGAACAACAAATAATCAGAATCTGTATTTATCCGGCCTGATGTACACATTTAAAACACAGGCCCAAAGGCCGAAAACTTCAAACGGCCATGAACTGTCGACGTTGTAATCTTTGGGAGTGCACGCGCTTCTTCAAGTGAGCCAGGTTTATAAGATTAAGATAAAGAGAAGGAGGGAATTGCAAAGTAGCGCAGTGCGAGAGAAGAAGCAGAAAGGGAAGCGTTACTAACTGTTACGAAGCTGTTTTATTTTTCCAAGTAAGGCCCACTTAGCTATGTAGCTCTTTTTCAGAAGCTACCTGCAGCACGAATAAAAGCTCAGCGAAGTGGCTTATCACGTGGAAATGTATAGCGGCCAAATACTCTAAACGCGTGTTTCTAAATGTGAAGGGGAAAACCGGAGGAACCCGGACGAAAATCTACGCGACCACGGGGAGAGAGACACGCAAACTCCAAATATACAGATATCGTCAGTGTCGGGATCGAACCCATGACCACCTGTATACCAGGCGAGGTAGTTAACATTTCACCCCCGTGGCGGCCCCTATGACCTACAGAGAGGTGGTTGAACTAATGATGTATCTCACAGACATAGTGGGCAAACTGTCTGTGTCCAGGCTTTGTCTGTTACGAATTTGAGGCGTTGTTAATGGGAGAAATGGACTAAAGTTAGGTTAATACACCAATCATCCATATGTATCTGCATATACACACACATCACGCAAAGACAAACGCGTACACATCTATACAGACACACACTACATACATACATATCTACCCAAACGTAATACACACAATGCATACATACATACACATGCATATCAACACAAACGTACGTTAAATACACACAATGCATACGTACATAAATACATATGTACACATACATACGTTATATATATACACACACACAATGCATACGTATATACATACAAACATACACACATACACACGTTATATACACAGTATCACACACACAGAGTCCACGGCCGCGAGTTACACGCGGAGGGCGTGGGTTGGAGATGAATCTCAGTGACAGAATCTTAAATGCGTCGCCCCGAACCACGGCTTCGCCGAACATCAAACACAGGGCAGGAAACCCGAGACGGCGCCACTCGGGCCCGGGATGTTGGAGCCCGGCACGGCGCGATGCAGCGGGGTGCCCGGCCAGGGCTCCTAGCAGTGCGAGCAGCAACGAGGAAGCGTGCTCCATCCACCATTCGGGGCTTTGTCCGTCGGCAGACTTCAGACATCCGCACATTACAAAAGTCCTCCGCCGCTATTGCCCGCGAACTATGTTGCCGCGATCGTTGCAGAAGGCTGTGAGTTCTAGTCTTGATTGGAGAGTTGAATGAGCCCCATCGTTCCTCTCTCCAGGGCCGATACAATTCCTCGCGCACCCCGCCATAGGAATGTAGACTATCCACCTCTAGCTCAGAGTTGTGAACATGAGATCATCACCAATGCCTCAACACTAATTTTGCAGGAAATCGTTCAGACTTGTTTTAGTAACGGAGTAATGGGTAGCTATATCTTCATGTATGTTGGCCTGCACATTTGTGGTTTGCGTGTTCTCCCCATGGTCGCGTGGATTTTTCTCCGGGTCCTCCGGTTTTCCCCTCCACATTTAGAACCAACATGCGTTTAGAGTATTTGGCTGCTATAAATGTCCACGTAATAAGCCACTTCGTGGAGCTATCGTATATAGCCAGGTCGCTTCCGAAAAAGAGTTATACAGCTCAGTGCGCCTTACCTGTAAAAATAAAATAAAACAGTTTGTCAGTTTAACACGTAGTAGGCTTTCGCGACCAATAGCATCCATAATAGAGTTTTGTTTCTGTTAGATCGCGTAAATATATAAATGTGTCGTTAAAACCCGCCGCCACCCGACATAGCCAACTAGTAAGGGTTGTCACGTAAACAGAACGTGGCCAATTCGTCACTAGTACAGCACACGGGTGTGTTGGAGAGCCAAGCCACAACATTTACAAACTAATTATAACTATCTTCATCAGGCGACAGCCAGATTTGTGGAGAAAATTGTAAATAATAATCCGACGATGCGAATTATTCTAGATTTGAAGTTTCGGTGATTTATTTATTTCAATTAGTTATTGCAAGTTATTTATTTATTACATACGTGACTTTACCGAAATAACCAAAGAGTATCGATACGGATTAGTTGGTCACGTTTGTGATATCCCCTCGCTAGCGTGGTGGGGTTTTACCAGGCTCGTCAGTTTTCCTCACGAAGAGCTCAACAAAACATCCCACTGCAGGATCCTCGTGAAAAAGAAGAGCTCTCTTTTGACGCGGTGAAGCTTTCCTGGATCAACAAATGGCACCGATATTTAATGAGCGCTATATCCTTGACCCCCATCGCCTACCTACGGTGCGATTGTCTCGACTGGATGCTGTTTGATTGGTTTAAAAGGTCGTTGGGCACGCGTCCAACGCAGAACTCTCAAC